GGGCGGGGGGGAGCGACGTTGAGAGAGCCAGAATAATAGCAATAGGCAGAGGGAGGGCGAAAAATAGATAGATATCGTGCGGCGGAAACGTACACACCCGGACGAAAGGCGGGGGGGATCTTTGGAAGTGGCCCGCGCACGGTGGTCACGGCCCCAGCTCCGAAACGTCGGACCTTTGGCCCCCACGCTTTGCCGCCCACTGCTGGGAGAGGGGATTCACGCGGCACCTTTCCGAAGGCTGGAAAGGCAGCTTAGCCACCCACTTCCCCACACAAGCCCACCTCCTCCCTTTCCTCCGTCCTCCTTCGACCTTTCTTCGACCGCCTTGCTCCTCCTCCCCCCTCATCGCCCTCCAGCCACACGCCCCTTTCAGCCCCTTCTCTCTGGGCCTTCCCTCCCTCTGAGAGGCGCACTGGCGCCCCCTCCTCCCCCCCCCCCCCCCCCCCCCCCCCCCCCCGCCCCCGCATCTCTCCGCCCCTCGTGCCTCCACGGATAACGGAGACCCAAAGCACAGCCCTAGAGCATGGCTCCGCCGCAGGCGAAGCGCGTGCGCGCCACCCCCGCTGCCGGGGCATCCCCGGCCACCGCACCGCGATCCATTGGCTCCGGCCGCCCGGCGGAGCCTGCCCCCTCTGAGGGAGCAGCGGCTACCGGCGTCGGCTCCAAGGTGTCGGCTACCAAGCCGGCCGCCGCCGCGCGCGCCGGCAAAGCCACGGCCACTGGCGGTGCCGCCAAGGCCACAAAGGCCAGTCGGCCCAAGGCCGCCTCCGCCGCAAGCAAGGCCACGCCCCCGCCGGCCGGGGCTTCCACAACGGATGCCTCGGCAGCTGGCACGGCTGCCAAACCGGCCGCCAGTAAGGCCAGCCGGTCGACCGGCGGAACAGCCGCCTCCAGGAAACGTGCCACCCCGGCCGATGGGTCGAGCGTGGGCCCGGCGGCCAAAAATGCCAAGGCAGCTACAGGCGCGGCTACCAAGCCCCGGGCCCCGGCCAAGCCGAAGGCCACGGCCCCCTCCTCGGAGTCGCAGGACTTCTCCTCGGACCCCACTTCGGAGCCCTCACCAGCTCCCACCGGCAAGGCAGCCGCCAAACCGCGTCCCGCGGCTGGTGCCAAGAATGCCAAGGCCCCTGCACCCAGGCCAAGACCCGCCGCCAAAGCGGCCACCGCTCGTGCCCAAACGGCCGGGCGGCGTTCAAAGAGCCAGTCTCCGAGCCCGGCTCCTTCTTTGGTGGCCCCCTCGCCGGCACTCTCGTCCACCGGCTCCTCCTCCGCCTCCGCCTCCGCCTCCACTTCGGGCGCCGTCTCCTCTTCGTCCTCCGCCACATCCAGTGCTGTTCCCTCATCGCCCACTGCCTCAGATGAGCCGGCCCCCACGGCGGTGACCAAAACCGAGGCGCCAGCGCGGGTAACCTCGCCGGCCGTGGCTGCCGGCCCGCCGGGTGCCCGACCTGCCAATGCCCCGCCTATCATTTCCCTGCCCCAGCCTCAAACCTCCTTCTCGTTGGAGCAGATCGACGGATTCCTTGGTCAGGTGGATAATCTTTACCATGAAGTGCGTCGAGCCTCTCTCTCTCTCTCTCTCCTCTGTATGGTGGATGATAGAAGCTTAAGTTGCCCACTCAACAGCACCCCCCTCCCCCTGCCTTTCTGACACCCAAACACACATCCACGGACATCCCCTCCGGCTGCCAATATTGCTCCCCCAGGCACACTCATTGCGCTCGTCCATGGTTTCCCTGGTGACCAAGCTCATGGAACCGCCCCGACTGAAGCCACGGCCGGCCACAGGCCTCAATGATGGGGAACTCTTCACACCGAACGACCCTCCCCAGGAAGATCGCGGTTCGTGGCCCATCCATTTTCTTGTCCCCCTCTCGTCCTGTCTTCTTTTTTTTCCACATGACTTGCATTCCCACGAGCCCTGGCAAGCTTGATCTCCGACCTCTGCCCGGCTCATTTTGCTTTCCCATCTGCCGCAGCCCCCTTCTCCCCACTCACTCACACATGCACCCACACACATTCCTCTCTCTCTCCTTTTCCCTCTCCCTCTCTCTCCCTTGCCCTCCCTGCAGATACCTGGCTGGATGAGATCGAAGTGCATGCCAAACGCTTGGACCCGAGCCGCGTGAACGTTCTCCTCCGAGACTCGCTGAAAATCGAAGGTTCCTTTCCCTTTTGCCGCATTTCCCCGACCATCGCATGCGCACATGCTAACTGCGCGCCCTGCTGCCATCCCTGCGTCTCTGGTCGGCTTCTCTTTCCACAGCCTCCGGTATCCTGAAAGCCCCGGCCATCACGGCGTACGTCACTACCGATCCGGTGAACGACCCCTGGCACACTCCTCCATCGATGCTTGACTGATCCCCTTCAACCCTGCCTCCAGTCCCGTGGAACTTGCCGGCATCCAGCCACACCTCTTCGTGGATGCCCTGGCCGAGTTGAATGAACAGAAAGTCACACAGGGCGTGGCCCAGGTGGCGGCCGCCTCGCTGGCCCGGCAGACGCGCCGTCACTTCTCGCCTCGGGATCGGACGGCCCCTGGCCTGAATGTGGCCCTGCCAATGGTCCTCTCGCCGGCGGACACGGCCCGTCGATTTGATCGCCTGCTCGATGCCTGTGTGACGGCCATTCAGAAAGCCGGCCGGCCAGGGCTCTCCGCTCGGCGCATCACCCCGGCACACATTCGCCACATTCGCCTGCGCGTAGAGTTGACTCTTGATCGCGGAGTGGGCGGCCTCTCGATGGTGGTGTCTTTGCGGCCGGATTCCGCGCGGCGAACCTGGCAGGCGGTCCTCCACGCCAATGGCATGGTCACCGGGCCAAGTGCCCGCGGTGGACAAATCCCAGATGCCGATCTGGCACTGGGCATTGTCCATGCCACGGTCCTCAGCCCGGAGGAGGGGTCAACGTACGGATCAACCTTTCCCACCACCGGGCAGCCGGGACTGCAGGGCGCTCTTGGCCCGTGCTATGGCGGCTGGGGCCGGTATCCGCATTTGTCGGTGGGTGCCGTATCGGACCTGGTCAGCCACCAGAGGACCCTGGAGCGCATTTCGACATATGCACGTCTTCTCCTGAATCGGACCTTGCGCATGCCCTTCTGGCAGGGCTTGGCCGCGTTGCTGGTGCGTTGTCCTCGACCTCACTTCACCGAGGCCGGAAGGGACCCCCATGTCCCTGCCATTCCTCTGATCACAACCACGTGCGCTACTCGCTTTCCCCTCCCATGCTCTGACACCCATGCGGGGCCTCGAAAAAGTCCTGGTTTGCCAGCCACGCGGATCTACTCAATGCCGATTGCGTGCGCTGCCGGCGACATCTGTCCGTGGACACGGCGACGGGTGGTCCACTTGGGCCAATCATGCGCCTGGGCATGAGCAATCCCCTTGGTCGGCTTCTGGACGACTTCACCGCCGACGGGGGAGGAGAGTCCTCTTCTGCCGGTGGCGGACCGGTCGGCACAGAGCATGATATCCTGTGGTCTGGTGGGGCCCTGCCAGGGCCAGGCTCGGCCGAGTCGCCCGACTCGGGTGCTGAATCTGCATCCACCATCACGGCAGCAGCCGGGAGTGCCTTCAATGTGCCGTCTGCCAATCTGGACGTCGGGTCGGATTCCTGGCTGGCCGACCTCGGGATCCCGGGATCGGTGGCCCTCGGCTTGGAAGCTGGGGCCGGGGAACTTGGCGATGCTGGGGAGGGCCTCCCACCAGGACCGCTGGGTTCGGGCCTGCCCGCGATTCGACCGCAGCCATCACCATCACCATCGCCGTCACTTCCGAGCATGGACCCGATGGGCACCGATCTGGCGGCCTTTATTCGGTCGCTCGACTGGCATGCATACCATCCGGAGTGCCATGCGGCTGATTCGTAGAGTGCCAGGGAGGGAGGGAGGAGGAGGTCCATCGCCGCCCTCCTCGCCCTCGCACTGTGCGTGTGTGTGTGTGCGCATTCGTGCGCGTACCACCCATATAGACCCCCCCTTGTGCCTTCACGCCCCGTCCTTGTATCTCCCCTCCTTCATGGCTTCCCCCTCCGAACCAAACATGTCCTTGTTGCTCCCTGCTCCTCGTCGTCGTGACACCACCCTTCCGCTTGTGTGGAAAGAGGCACCCCCCCCCCGCCCCCGCCCCACTACTGCCTGCTTGTCAACCTGCTTGTTGGTCTCGCACAGCCCATTTTTGCCGAGTGGTATCTGCCTCTTGGCGGTGGCTTTTTTTTGTTCTCTCCCCATCCCCTGGATCCCTTTTGGCCTCTTGATTTGTCTACACTCGCCCCTCATGTAAACTCAGTGCACGGCGTGTCTTTATTTCACAAACAAGGTTGCAAATTCATCGGATCTTCTTCGGAGGAGCAAGAAATAAGCGGGAAGCATATGTGGAAAGTGGTGAACCTGGGACGACGAGAAAGACGCCGGTCGGGAAGATGATTTGACGGACAGGCATGAGAGCGAGTGAGGTGGGGACACGAGGAGCGGGGGGGGCACGCATCGAAGCCGAGAGGAACTCCCTGACGGCACTACCAGCACCATCATCGGGCGAGCGGGAGAGAGAGAGAGAGAGAGAGAGAGAGAGAGAGAGAGAAGCCCCACACACACCCGTCGGGGAGACCTGGCTCTTTCCTCCTCCCTGGGACACAGAAAATGCAAGGGAGGAGGCAGAGAAAGAACACCCGTGGGCGCAGGGGCTCCCTCTTACGGGGGCAAAGGACCACCGCTTTCTCTCTCTCTCCCTCTCTCTGTCTCTCCCTCGCTCTCTTGGCATCGCGCCCCAAGGGACATGCAGGCACTCAGAAGACAGCGGTCACCGGGGCGCGGCCATTGGAACAGGACCGCAGGCAGTTGAGCTGATCCGTGAGGTCTTCATCATCCGGAGCCACACCGAGAGTCGAATAATACTCGGCCAGCCAGGAAGACAGGGCCATGGCATCGACGGTCGGGGCGGGAGCTGACGCCTCGTCGGAAACGATGTGGCGCTCGTGCACACAGAGGAGCATGTTATAGCAGCGGCCATCCAAGCAGCCAGCCTCCTCGAGGGCCGGCTGGACGTACTTCAGACCGACAACCGCACGGAAGCCCAGGCGGGAGAGAGCCGCCGCGGCGCGGCTTTTCGTGGCGTCGGATTCCGAATCATCATGGCCGCGGGTCTCCAGCAGGGCGATCTTGGCCTGGGGGCCGAGGCCGCGCTGACGCGCACGCATGTCACCGAACTCGATGCAGGCCATGGAGAGGGGCCGAGAGAGGCCCAGGCCCCGGCGGTCGGGAGCCACCACCAGGTACGTCAGCAGCAGGGCCGACGACCGGGGATAGAATTCCGCCGCCGAAAGAGCCACCGGCACACCGGAAAGGCGGTCCACCATGACGATGAGGTCGAAGTCCACATCAGAGTCGCAGGGAGAAGTGGGGCCACTGTCCGGAGGGGGGTGGTCGGGGGTGCTGGCCGCATCGAGGAGGGCCTCATGCCAGTGCACCACGGGCTCCAGCTCGTCGGGGGCCGAGCTAAAGGCCGGGATGGCCAGGAATTGGTGCACGACCGTGGCGAAGGCCAGGGCCGCGGCCGGGCCGCGCGCGGTCGCCGGATCCGGGCAAGCCTCACGAATGAGGGTGGCAGATGCTTCCGGCAGGCATGCCTGACCGCAGGCAATCTGCCGCAGACTGAGCACCTCCAACTGAGCCGGGGTGCTTTGCCGGATCGGCTGGAGATAGTCCTCAACAAAGGGGGGAAGGGAGAGGGCGGTCGTCGGACGAACACAGCCATCGGAGGCAAGGCTGTCAATTACCAGCGGGGTAACGGCAGCGATGCGAGGGGGGGAGATACCGGTTTGGTTAGCCGGCCTGATCTGTGGCGGAGCCGGGCAAGAGGGCCTCGGCAGGTCGGACGGGGGCGAGCTGGCACCGTTGGTGTCGGCACCGGGTCCGGCCGGCGATGGCGTCGGGTAAGCGCAATCGCGTGCGGCGGGAACGGTGACAACACCGGAGATGGTGGCGGCATCGCCGGCAGCGGCGAGGGGAGGGGTGGAAGAACCAACACCGATGGCGGCGGTGTCGATCGCCGGGGGGAGGATGTCGACGACATTGTCGTTGACGCCAGCCACGGCGACATCCGCGCCCCTACGCGCGGGAGTGTCCGACCTGGCGGGGGTCTTGCCGAGCCCAGCCACAGACCAGGCCGGCCTGGGTATCGGTGTCAATTTGCCGGAGTCCTCCCCGCAGGAGGACTGCGAGCTGCCGGCACTGGCAGCACCCGAAGAACGAGAATACCCGAACATGGTCATGATTGGAAAGGAGGAGGGGGGCGGGTTGGGGGGGGACAGGGAAGCCCTACACGGGTTGGGGGGGGGGAGAGCGCGGAACGCAGAAGGACGATGGACGGCCGGGCACCCAAAGGCACCCGGCGTGGCTGGCTGGTGGGATATAAATAGCCTTCCTCCCATTACCGCCCTCCGAGACGCATTCACACACTCACACACACGCACACACACACACACACACACACACACACACACACACACACACTTGCAGAAGATACCCTCTTTGACCATGAATAGAGGCATGCTACTCTCGAAGAGTCGGCGCACATGCCCAGTGCTCAAGAGCACCCCTCCGGATCAAGTCGACACTCCGGGATGCATCCTTTGTCGACGTGAGTCTGTGGGTACGGTGCGCCACACCGCGGGATTCGCGCACGCGCGCACGCGCGCGCACGCACACACACACCAAATAGGACCACGAGTCGAGAGGGGTGGGGGCCGCAGGGGGCAGGAGATCTCTCCCGGCATCCTACCCCTGGAGCGTCGGGGGCGCCGATAGCAAGGTTTGCTGTGTGACCTCCAGCGCACAACCACCGCGCGCCACAGGGACAGTGACGAACTCAAGGCAGGGGCCAGAGCGCCAGCATATGGGTGCGGAGAACATGCCTGCCAAGGCGCTGTTGGTCTTTCGAGCCCCACGGTGGTCACACAACCAAGAGACCGTCAATGCGGGTCGAAGCGGCGGCGGGCCGGGGGGGGGGGCTTCATCACGACCCACGGCCACCTCGTTGTAGCCGGGATTCGGCAACCAGCTGGAGAACAGGGGAATGTGCTTGGTGAGATGTCGATACCAGGGGTGCCACACGCCCGTCCCTCCCCCCCACCCCCCGGGGCCGTCGGACTCACAAACGGCGAGATCGCCCACCGCCCGGACTCGAGCGCCAGGCAGTCGTCCCGGGGAGCCGTCCGGGAACAGACAGGCTTCCCTTTCAGGCCCAGGGAGGGTTGCAGGAGCAGAAAAAAGAAGGGCACCGCCACGAAGGAGGGGGCCTGTGCCCCCCCCCCCCCTCTCGGGTGGCGAACCTGAGCATGGTAGAGGCAGCGTCGAGGCTTCCAAACCGATCGCCAGTGGGCATCCCCCATTGGGGCGCAATAGTTTTCCCATGGCCAGGCTCGATCGGATGAAACGGCGACAGCAGGGCGCAGGACGGCCAGAGGCCCCCTCGGAACACCCCTCCCGAGGGGTAGACCGGGGAATGCCTCTGGGGTGCAAGACCGGCGGCCAGAGCCGGGGGGGCGGGTGTGTTTATTTCAGCCCGCCCGGGCCGCCTGCGGACGTCCCCGGCCGCTGGACGAAGAAATGGGTGCGCAGTTGACCAAGATGGAGCAGGGGCACTCGTGGTTTGGAACACCATCTCGCGCCCTGGGCGCGTGTGTGGCATTGTTGGGGCGCTTTCCGGGGCATGCCCCTCCCCCACCCTCCCCCCCGGGGGGGGGGGGGTGGACAACGCATGGTACCCCGCACACGTACCCACCACACCGCCAGGCAAGGGCCCGCCCGTCGGGCTGACATGCCCCACAGGGCCTCGGCCCCATCTACACGGCATGTTGACCGGCGGCAGCTTTCCCTCCCCAGGAGGCGCATGAGGGAGAGAAGCCAATTGTTAGCAACCGACGGTAGGGACCTTGTCGTGTCATCAAGGAGCGTCCCCTGCTCTCGCCGCCGCTTTTCCCCCACCTCGGTCTGCCGACCAGAAAAGCACACGCGCCGGTGCGTGAGAAGCGATCCATGCTTGGCGGCCCAGGGAGCTCGGATCCATTGGCACAGCGACCCCGTTTCGGTCCCTGGACTCCTCGGTGATCATCGGGCGGAGTCAACCCTGTGCTTGATGAAAACGGACCTTAACCCGCACCCGGATGCCTGGATCGGCCCGTTGGCTGCTCAGTCAATAGAGGCAACTATTTTAGTCCCGCTTTATCCGCCACAAGAACGCGATCTACCGCCGGTCTCGCCCTATCTCGGTTAATGTCCACAAGTGCTCGCGCAGATCATGAGGGAATGGGCGTGATTTAATTTGAATTTGTCGTTAGCAATCGACTTCGTCGTGGTGCATCCGTCCCCCCCCCTCTCCTCTCGGTCCTCGGGCCTGAGAGAAAACGCCACCGACGCCCCATCCAAGGGCGGGGATGTCCCCGCACCCGATCTCCCTTCCTCTGTCAGCCGCCACCCCCCTCCCCTCTCCCGGCCCTCCACCTCCCCCGCCTCCCGCCCACTGCGACCCTCCGATTGCTATCCTCTGCCAGGCCCATCCTCCTCCTCCTCCCTCTCCTCGCGTTTCCCCATCATCTCCGGCCTCTCGGTGGCCTCGCCCGATGTCGCTCTCCTCGACTGGCATACCGATCGCTGCCTACCGGCGTGCGATCTATTCGGCCTTCACCCGGTCGCATGGGCTCACCCTCAGCCAAGAGGCTTTCGACTATCTCGTGTCAGTACTTCAAGCCATCCCTGTGGATCCCGCCCGGCCAGCGCGCGGGAATAAGCTTCCCATCGACCAGGAGACCGCTCTCCTGACACTGGCGCGGTCGTACACCAAACATGCCTCCGGTGCGGGGTTGCTTTTTTCTCCTTCTTCTTCTTCTTCTTCTTCTTCTTCTTCTTTGCCCACCCTTCAGCGACATGCTCACCAGGGAGGCCCCCTTTTTTTCCTCACACGCCCGTGCCCGCCCCCGCACCCGCAACACTGTGGCCGGACTTCCGTCCATGCTAGAATCTGGGTCGTCCCTCATCTCGCGACCGGCCTTGGAGCTTGTTGTCCAGCAACTGACGAAGCTCGCTTCGGCGGCTGGTGAGGCTGCTAAGTCCACAATGTCCTCCGCCGCAATCCCCGCCGCCAGTGGCGCCGACCTGCAAACGATCGCTGCTGAAACCCCGGCCGCCGTGGCGCCGACGACCCAGACCCCGACAATCGATGCCCCAACCTTCACCATCCAATTGGACACTGTGGCTCTCTTGCGCGTGCTAGGAGCCGAACAGCAGCCACGCCTGCTGCTGGACCGAGCACGCAATGTGTGGAACGTGTATGTTTCCTCATGCGGCAAAACAGCATCGCGCCTTCGTTGGAAGCGTCATCAGCCACATGCCTGACCCTGTTCCCCCCCCCCCCCCCTCCTCCCCTCTGCCGCACCAACCAGTGCCCCTCGGGCGTCCCCCTTCTCCAAGCATGCGGATGGCCATAATGCTGCCATTCTGGAGCGGTATCATCTGCTGCATGCCCGCTGCGCACGGCATGCGCTCTTCCGTCCGGAGCACCGCCATGCCGGCGGCATGGAGGTACACAACATATACGCTTGGTCGCCGGTAATGCTGCAGTTGATGGTGCATTTTACTCACCTGCCTGTGGTAGCTCGCCACGACTGACTCGCTGTCCGGGCGACCGGCTGAAGCTCCGCCAGTGTGCCTCTTTGGCTTGCTCAGTCGCGGCCCTGATGGACGCCCGCGACTTGAGGACCCGTATGGCTCAATTCGCCTGGACCTCTCGAGTGCGGTACGTCGGTGTCTCTTCCAGCGCCTTTTGCCGTCGCCCCTCTCCTCTTCATGTGCCTCCATACCATCAGTACCTGACCCCTCTCTCTTGTGTGCGTGTGTGCGTGTGTGCTTGTGCATATGTGCGTGCGTGCGTGCGTGCGTGCGTGCGTGCGTGTGTGTGCGTGCTTTAATTGCGCTCAGGTGGCAAATGTGGGCCTCTTCTCGGCTGGCACATTTGCCCTGCTTGAGGGCCAGCTCGCGTCGGGTTCTGACATGACCGATGCCATGAGCGAGGGTGCGACATTCCGTGTGTCACACGTGGGCTTTCCCCCGTCGGAGTCCCGGGCAGCTACGCTCAGTCGCTCGCTTGGCTTTACCTCCAGCACTGGGATGGATCACCGGTCCGTCAGTGGGATTGGAGATGTCTCTGGTGAAACGCAATGGGAAGATGTGCGCCGATCCTAAGAGGGGGGGGGGGCATTTTTGTCTGTCTCATGGGCGGTGAAAATCGGTAGCTCACATGGATTTGACTGCCCATTCGCGTGTGCCCGTGGTGTGGCCATAGGCCCACATCGAACAGGCGGCGGCCGACCCACGTGCTGCCTGGGTAGTCTTGTCCGATGTCAAACTCGACAGCCCGGTGGTTATGCGCATGTTGGAGCGCCTCTTCGGATCGTATCAGACAGCTGCCGAGGACTGGCTCTCGGCGCATCCTGGTCAGAGCTTGGCCGGCCTGCTCCCGGATGCCTTTCTGATGTTTGGAGACTTTACCCAGCATGGTGCCTCCTCGGGTACGGAACGAACAATCGCCCCCGTCACGACGGCTGCTGTTGCCGCTGCCACTGTTGCCGCTGCCGCTGCTTTCCTCCGCCCGATAGAGGCGTATCTTCTTTGAATGCCATCTTGGCGCCACGCTCACCTCCGCACGCCGCCTCCGATGACCAGATCTGCACCACTGTCGGACCTTGTGGGCAGAGCTGGGAGCTCTAATTGTTCGCTTTCCCTTGGTGGCCAACCGGTGTCGATTCATTTTTGTCCCCGGACCAAATGACCATCCGGCCAGTGGATCCGGCGGCTTGACCGGGATCCTACCGGCAGAGCCCATCCCTCCGGAGTGGCTGGAGGGCACCCTCTTCCAATGGTGTCATCCTGTAGATGCGGCCGCGATCTCAGCGGCTGATCGGCCCAAGAATGCGATCCGCTATGCGCACTTCACGAGCAACCCCTGTCGTCTGCTTTTCGGGCCGAAGGAATTTTGCTTCTTCCGGCACGACCTGCTCGGGCGGATGCGCCGATCCCTGGTTGTCCCGCCGAATTTGGCCACCGTGTCGGACATTCGCACTCATGTTCGTTATGCTCTTTCCTTTATGTGCCCCTGCCACTTGGGCCTCTGCGAGAACAAGCGGTACATGCCTGTGCTCTGACTCGCCTTTTCTTTCTTCCTACCGGATGGCAGCTTGCGCATACGATCATCGAAAATGCACATCTGGCGCCCCATCCAGCCCCTCCGGCGCTGTTGTGGGAGTACGACCATGTTCTCCGGCTCTATCCCCTGCCCGATGCGGTGCGCAAACCTCCCCTCGCCTTCCCCCTTTGATCCGGTTTGCCTGCCCCAAGCGAGTCTGTTCTCACACTGGCACGTCCCCTGGCATTAACATGTGCACTCCATTTGCCTCGCTATCCACCACCCCCGCTCTCCCCCCGTCTCTCCCTCTCTATGACACACACACACACACGCGCGCGCGCGCGCGCACGCGCGCTCCTCGCTCCCCAAAGGTGTTCCTGGCGGACCAACTCCCGACACACATTGATGAGATCGTGCATGAAGCCGAGTCGGCCGAGTTGAGCCGGCGGCGGAACGGTGCCGACGGCACGACGGCTGGCGGGCTGCGCATGGATGTTGATGACGGGGCTGGCGGTGTGTTGGATCCGGCGACGGCAGCATCGTCCCAGGTGGCCGATGCCGAGGCAACGGTCTCGCGCGTTGTTCATGTGCCGCAATTCTCCCTCAACGGGTCTTTCATCATCTTCTACCCAGGGACCGCGAAAACCGAGATCTGGTACGTGGCCTCGTTCGCACGCTCACACAATGCTGCGCCTCGCAAAAGAAGAAAAGGCCACCCCCGGACACTGACCCCTCATGCACATGCAGCAAAATCACCCTTTAGAGCACCCCTGTGCCTCCTCTCTCCGGGTTGCCCCCCCCCCCCCCCAGTCCGCCAATACACATGTTCACGGGGATAGAAGCCCTGGCGACATACCCGCAGAAAAAACGCATCGCAAGTGGGGGTAGAAAGTAGGGAACAAGGGATATATATGTGGGGGGGGAGGGGGGATGGAGAATGTATAAGGTGTGTGCAAAGATAGATGGGGTTCATTGAGGGGCGCGGCACGGAGAGCCTGAAGGAGAAGAGAGAGGGAACTTTACTCGGCCTCCTCGGCGACCTCCTCGAAGTTGGTGTCGACGAGCTCGGGGATGTCCTCATCCTCGGCACCGGCGAAGGTGGGAGCGGGGGCACCCACTGTGGGCAGGCACACATGCAGCAGGAAGGGGGGGGAGGATGGTTGAAAGGGAGAGCGGGAGAGAGGGAGCGAGAGTTAGCAAATAAAAGCCGGCAGGGGGAAAGAACATGGCAATCCCCCCCCCCCCGGAGGGCCGTGTGCCGGGGACCAACACCGGCGGGGAACGGGGAGAGCAGCGGGGGGGGGGGTGGGAAACAACATGAAA